CGTTATCGCCGCTCGTGAGAACTCAGCTCCATCGCCGTCTCCAGAAGGCCGCTCGCTAAACCTAGCCAGCGCTGGCGGCAGAGCTGGAGCCCCTGAGCCCCGAGCCCCGAGCCCGGAGGGCAGCAGGAGCAAGAGCAAGAGCAAGAACGAGAGGAACGGTGGGTCAGATCGCCGCGGTAACTAATCACCTCAAAGGAATAGATGTGATACCCGTTCACGTGACGCTAGCTGGGAAATATACGGAACTGGAAATATCTCCGACCGGCCAATCAGAGGCGGATATTTGATAGAGAGTCCTCCCAATATAGATTACCGGGTGAACTTTTTTGACGAGCAACACCCATTTTCCCGATCCAACATCCTCCGAGACTTCATTGGCTCAGCATCGTTTAATGCCCTTCTTCACGTGACGCTAGCTGTCCCTCCTTCACAAGTTGAAGCGAGCACCCAAAAAGTGTTAAAACTATGTTGTCTCTTGTTTCCCGTGACTCGTTGTGGATAGAACCGAGGTCAAAGTACACGGCCCGTCTCCTTCTCTCTCTCTCCCTCTCCCTCTCTCTCTGGAATTTATCTCCGAGCTTCAATTCTTCTACGCCGCTGTAATTCGTGCAAGTCGGAATTGCCTGCCTGCGCTCGCTCAGCTCAGATCACATCACATCACATCACATCGCCCTCCCTACCTCCCTCCCTCCTCGGCCAGCTGTCACCCAGTCGGACCAAGTAACGACATGATCCCAGTGGTATTCTGGAATCCACTGTTATCCACAACTTGATTGACATACGCAGGTTGGTGCTTTGGACATCTCGCATGCCGCTAGAACAATAGCTTCGGCAGTCAGGCAGGCCGTCCGTCCGACTTGGAGACTTGCGAGGGGGGTCGAGCTTCAACGTCGTTGTTGTGTTGGTGAACGAGAGGCGAGAGCCGGCACCACTTCCTACTTCGAGGAACTGCCGTTTGGGAGTTCTATTTTCCTGGCGCTTGCTCTAGTCGCCTTCCAGGGTTTCTATAATTGGCATCCCGTCTGACCTCGGCTGGAGGACATGGCATTTCGATGGACTTTGGTGGCGGGAGTCCTTCTGTCCTCTTCTCTCTTCTCCGACGTCTTGTGCGTCCAAAACTTTCCACTTGCCTCCGCCACCTTTTCTATGGGCGTAGTGGCTGTACAATTCGAGGTCAACATTTATGATGAGCTCGGAGATAAGCATGTTCACTGCAAAGCCACTATTCCACACCTACGTATGACATCAACGATCAGCTGCAAATTCATCCAAATTTGATCTTCGCTCAGAGCATAAATTACTGGTTTCTGGATCATTAGTGCTATACATGATCATCTAGGATGAGCCAGCAGCCCCATTTGGCCCACCTCGAAGAATATCGGTCAAACGAGTGAGCTCATCGTACCCCCCCTTGATCCGTAACCATACCCGTCCTGCTGCCCTGTCCATATCCCCCGAATAAACAATTGGGCATGTACTCGGTCATGGCCGAGGATACGATCTGCAAATATTTGAAGCGCTGTGCTCGAACGGTGCGTACCCTCAATAACGCCCGAGAATTTCAGATAGGATCGAGGCTCGCACCATTATCTTCAAACAATTATTGGCGTCCAAAAGTTCGATTTCCGCAATTCGCTTCATGAAGAGTTACACGATGTGCCCAGGATTCACAGGACGAAAATATCCCCTGACCTCCCTCAGGATTGACGCTCCCATCGTCACCTGATCCGAAGGCCCCCCAAATTATGCCGATGAAAATACGTTCGCTTTTTTAAGCACCCGAGACGAATGTCCTCATCATGCCCGGTAATGGTTCATTATGAATGCATAATCTGGATGCAGGGGTCGAGTACACTAGAGCCCAGTGCGGGGATTGCTGGTTCCATTCGCATGCATATACCCATCGCAAGCAGAGAGGCTCGCGGGTGGAGTCGTCGGCATATCCAGGCTTGAAGCAATCACGGACATCGTGTGGGGGAATTTAGGCTGCTCCATTATAACCTGCACCAGCTGCTTCCACGGGTTCCCCTCTGAGGACTGTACCCGCGCTGTTCGGTCGCCTTGCACTGGTACAGTACAGGGAACAAATCTTGCAGAGTGTAGACTTTCTGCTGTACTGCTGTACTGTACTGTACAGGGCACACGGTACAGGCTCACTTAATGAGCGCCATCAGACATTCAGACGTACGTGGTGAAGACGAAGTGTTCACACGTACCGATCGGTGTGTGACAGACGTTGCGCAAATGTCGAATGGTCCAAACTCTGCTAACCAGCGGTTTAATGTTTTCTACTCGCCACCGTGTATTGTTGGTCGGGCTTTTTGCTCGCCCTGGACACCCGATGAACCTTTTTAACCTGTACCGCTGGTCACTCGTGCTGCATACCCGCGAGATAACATTCTTCGAGGTAAACCCCGTACGATCTCAGTGACTTTTGGTCGTACGTGAAATTAACCAGTTTCTACGTACAGGAGGGAAGGGAGGCTATGAATCGGGTTCTCATTGCGGAGAGGGTTTATTCCGAATATTGCTTGGGGGACTGTACAGGTCCGCCTCGTCAGTACAGTGTACCGAGATCGTGAGCGATGCACTGCGATGTTGGAAGAGGATTTGGAGGGGAAGTAAATCTCGGGAATGTAGGCATGTAATTCCCGGTCTCGATAAGGTGAGAGGCGGAGGAAAGCAGTCAATGTGGAGCACGAATTTTCGAGTCTGTTGCAGTGGGCCAGCTCATATTTTAAAAGACAGAGTGGAACAATGGTAATGTGGTCGTGAATAGAGCCAAGGTCAACCCCATCGATGTTCGCCCTAAATTTCAGCTGGAGGATGTGAGCACGGGAGGAGGAGGTGAACTTCTACAAGTCAGCTAACTTGGAGAAAGTGTTGGCCGAGAAGTTGACTTCGGAGGGCCCCATGATTAGCCTCCTAAAATCCAGACACCAGCGAGCGAGCTTGCCTAGGAACCTCGGAAATTGTTTTTGCTGTCGTGGAGATTGGTTTCGGGAGCCCGAATCTGTTCTCTGGTTCTCCGTTCCTGCCCTGATTCTTCATTTTTTCCTTGGCCATATTAAGCATGTTTCTGCAGCAGCCTTGAACCCGGCCACGCTCTGGGCACACTCCTTATTCTTAATGGAGAAACAATGGACCTTCCTTGAATCGCTCCCAGCTACTTGTTTTTTTGACATTGCGCAAGCTCTCCCCCTGGTCTTTCTAGATTCAGTGCCCCCCTTGTCCGGTGATCTGGCCGAATCTCCTAGACAAACAAGCCGCTTATCTCTAATCATGCTCGCTAAATCTCAAATCCGTAGCAGGTTCCAACTGAAAGAACATTCTTTTCTAGTCACCTCGTCCACCTCTTCTCGGCAGATCGCAGCTCGCAGCTCGCTAACAATCTCCTTCGACGTACATGTCCTCGGGTGCCCCCCATTCCACCCCATTGCATGCTTGTCATGGAATGGTCCCTCCCGGCGTGTTTTTAGCTCCCGGCTTTGAGGACATTGCGTTCCAATGGATTATGATTTTCCATTGACTCGAGGAGGATGTCATGAGCGGGTTCATATCAAGGTGCTAATTGAGCAACCCCATCTAGCCTAATGATTTGCTCCGGTACAGGAACCTGCTCTCTAATGAGACAAAACTCCATTCCGCGTTTCAAGCGTTTCATGGCCCTCTCCGCCCGATTCCGTCCCCCGATTCGTAACTTCTGTTTCTAGTTGCAACCTCCCGTTCCCGCTGCCGTGACTGCCCGCAGTACGCCGTTAATAACCTCTGTTGTACTAGTACTCCCCACAGGCCCCCATATTCTGAAGTCGCCGGGCCAAACTTGGAAACCAGGACATGCAAAGTACAAGGCTAAACATACATTCGACCTTGTCTTTGATTTGATCTCGTACGAACCTAACACATGTCCCGACCTACTGGTCCTTCCTCTTGGGCTGGTTTCGACAAATGTTCATGGGCGCAGTATTGCTGCACCTCCACACCTGTCGCTGCGACGAGAGTTGACGGCGTACTTCGAAGACGTACATCGAAGGACGGCGAATCGAGGATGAATTCCCCAAGTTCGACTATTGGAGGGTTGAGTCAATCCCACGAGCACGAACTGGAGCTGATGGGATGGGTAGGGTAGCTTGGGAGGTTGCTTGGATTTTCATCCGATGCCAGGTCCAAAAATCTCCGACAAATTGTCGACTTGCACTACGTTCTTAGAGATGCATCTTAAAGTGAAACACAGACGGAAGTGTTGACGCAAGAGTCAGAGAACAGCTCATTTGGTTTGTATCATAGTTTTCCAAGCTTGCGCGTAATGGAAGAGTGGCCGTCTGCTTCTCACTGAAGAAGGACGAGAGCTTGCAAAACACATGTTTGTTTGACATATGCACCCAACAAGGCCTACTCATGATCCATGGGTGCCTCGCACATATGACACTCGATATGCTGAGACGTGGAAGGGAAGAAACTTAGGGTCGTGATCGGTTTCCACATCTCCAGCTCACATTGCTATCCGCTGTGAATCCACTCAAATCTCCCCGAGGGCCACTTCGCTCTGACTTTTGCTTAGGATTCTGTTTGTGGGATGTCTAGTAGGGCTGTCCCCCATTTTCTTCATCTAATCTCCCTACTTTCGACATTACTCAACCCCCGTATTACTTTACTTTGTCCCCCCAATCCCACTTTCAACCACTCTCCTCTCAATGCAGCAATTACCCATAACCGAGAAGCTCTAACACATCGGGGTACAAAGATACCAAGATAATATCCACCCATGTACTTGCCAAGTTTGTACAACTCAACATCTCACGTCTATATATTCTTTGTTCGCGATTTTTTGGGGGTTCCATCTTTTTTTCTTTACCACTTGAAGATCATTTTGACTCATTCTCAATGTCGATGTTTGAATCCACAATAATCTTCGATTCTATCTTTATAGTCAGTTGATTTTATGAGATTCTACCGCTTGGCTACGAGTGAGTGAAGTATCTCTCATCAGATTCATGTACATGCCACCCATAACGAACATGAACATGAGCATGGAGGAGCTTTGCTTTCTTCCCCTTGTAGGACGCCCATTTATTGAGCCCGCACTAACTTGGACCAGGTGGCTTGGGAAGGGAGGATGAAGGGTCAAGGGGCAATCAAGAGGAGACGGTGAGGAGCTTCGTTGGAGAGAAACTCCGCTCGAGGAAAGCCCAGAATGTCTGATAAAGTAGATTCCTAGTGGGCGGGTAATTTACTGGTCGGTAGTCAGTTGGCAAGCTCCACTACTTCTTTTTGGTTCCCACCTCCAGCTTGGTGTAGATAGATAACTGCACCCACCCTTTAGTAGTGAATCAGCACCGCCGGACAGAGACGGCTCCTGAATAAACTCGCAACGAAACGATTTGCTTTAGCTCGAATGGGTGCCGAATCTTGGCAATTTTAAGCTTTCGGGAGCAGCCATAGAAATCAAAGACCAGCCCATTGGGGGGCTCAAAAGAGTCGGACGTTCAGCAAGTGGCGAGCGGAGCAGTGACACCTAGCCGCAGGAGGAAGCACTCAAAAGAAGAAACGCTGAGTCATAAAGGATGACCTGGGGCAAATAAAATCAGATAGCGGAACGAACTACGACATTTGCAAGAATTCGAAGACATACTCTCCATACTGTAGGCCGAGCGTTCATTTGTTGGGATAGGAGATGGACGTACAAGGGCGAGAATTAAGTAAATTCTAGTGGAAAGAGGTAAAAATGGCAACTTGTTCGATAGGAAATCGGGACTCGTTCACCGTCCAGACCGATCTCTAACAAAAGGAGCAGCAGTTAAAGATGTTCTAAAACAACGCAAGGCTTGGGCAACAAGAAAATCCTCAGATGTTGTCGAAGAGAGGGAGGTGGAGACTATCGGGCTTTGCGGGAGTACGGTTTGCTGCATGCTTCGGGAAGAAATGAGCTAGTGACAGGTGACCATGAAAAAGCTTGGATCTGAACTTCTCTGTGTTTTATTCGAGTGTTTACCAGATGCTCCGGAGTTTTAGCTCCAGTGCTAAAACTTCTTCAACGGAACCCGTATAAACAGCCACCAAATCAAACACCAAATCTTCTGTGCCAAATGTCAACATATCAGAGATTTTCATGGCGGAAAACCGCTTGAGCTGCCAGGGTCTCTAAGTTTGGCAGCCTGCAGCAAAAGGAAGCGGGCGTCTCTTCTCCGGGCCGCAAGCTGCTCTTAGCTGATGAAATTAGGTCCTCCAAATTTCAGTAAAGCCCGTTCGTTCGCACCACTGCATAGGTAGCTAAACAGCAGCTAGAGAGTGGACTTTCGGGCTTGGCAGTCAATGCAATTTGAGAGAGACTTAATGGGAACCAGGCTGAGAACAAGGGACATTTTCAACACCATCCATCCCCTCCAACCCCAGATAAAATGTCAAAGTAGAAACGCGGCAGAAACCCAAACGGATGTAAATCATCAGCAGTCGAGCGGGTTTTGTTGGATCGGATGCCCCAGGGAGGAGGCGATGGGTAATTGCGACACAGGAAAAAGACACCACAGTAATACCACGCCGCCTGCCTGCGCCATGGGGATGGAAGCTTGGCTGGATGGATGGGATGGACTAGACCGCATGAACTCTACAGGGGAATCTAATCGGCAAGTAAGTACGAGATACGGCGTACAGAAACGACAGCAATCAGGGCCGGGATTGAGCCGAGGGGAGGGGAGGGGAGGGAGGGAGGGAGGGAGGAAGGAAGGAAGGATTGAAGGGAAGGTAATGTAAGGAACCATTCCGTTGAAATTCCTTCGCCTCAATGGTCCGGGGGAATCGTAGGGCTGCACCTACCTGTCTGTCTCCCTCCGCGGTCTGTGCACAGGCGAGCAGAGCAGCAGCGTAAGGAAAATGGCTTTGTCTGTTGCATTCCATCCCATCACATCACATCAGGTACGGTAGACGTAGGCAGGAGTTACCCACCGATTCACAATGCACAATTCACAATTCACCTTCGCGCTTCGCCCGCTCGGATCGCGATTTCGCCAATTCCCACCGATTCTCAGTTACTCGGGGCATTGTCTGTTGTCTCGCGCTCGATTTCAGCTTTCTCTTGCATCGCGGTAGCGGTAGATGAAGGGCAAGGGGTGGCTAGGAGCTGGGGCTCTGGGGCCCACGGTCGATAGAGCAGAGAGAGGGGGCATCTTTTACGTGCTAGAGGTTGTTACTGAGTAGAGATGGCCGGTAAAGCCCACGTGGGCTAAGGGCTCTTTCCACCACGCCCTCTCGGTACATAGGAGGAGGATGGCGGGCCCCACCACCGGGAGAGAGTGTCCGGGCTCGCTACTACTTCTTCCTTTACTTCAGAGACAGACAGAGCGGAAACAGAACAGAAGAGTGCAGCGGCCGAGGCTGAGAGAGCGCAGCAGCAGCAGCATCGAGCGATCACGCACCCCACCCCCCACTCTCATACATACAAGACTCCGACGGACGGACAGACGGACAGTTGCGAGAACCGGAGAACTCCCCACACCAAGCGCAGCAGTGGAAGAAGAAGGAGGAGGAGAATCGACATTTGTATTTTAAAGATTTTGTTTGCGCGGCGAGGAGCTCGTGAGGTGCGCGCACTATTTGACTTGCGGGTGCTGAAGCGGTGACTGAGGGAGCGTGGGATTTGCTTCTTCATTCATTCGGGCTGGTCAGGACGGAAGCCTTTGCTAAAACAGCGACCTGCTCTGTCGACTTCGTGGTAGAAGAGAACTCGGAGGTTTACTGATTCGTCAGGTGCCGGCAATTTCATAGTCGTGGAGCATTTTATCTGCATCGATAAGCTGTAGCAGCTGTTGAACTCCAGGGAGGGTGACATTACAGAAGTTAGCAACGGGTGGATAAGCATTGACCCTAAGCCGCTGCTGCGAGTGTGTTGGTGGCCGAATTCCTCGCCCATCTGCACGGATTATGTGCCTTCTGCATCTCGGTATGTCTTACTCTCATCCTCTTTCCAATTTGAAGCTACCAAACTCGCTCCCTCACCTTCTCAGTCTTAGGTGCTCCTCGACTGTAACTGAAAACCGCTCTAATTCTACAGGTGTTGTGATTGGATTTCTCTTCCACTATGATCCACTTGTATACTTCGACCAATTTCATACTATCCACATTAGCTCCTATTATAAAACATGCACATATTAATCTTTTGAAAGTATTTTCACTGAATCACGTGCTCTGGCGGTTTTCAGGTCGAAACTAGGAGATGGCTTTGTAATTTGGAGGACTTATACTCTCGGGACATGGTTAAGAGTCACATAGCCATTTTAATGCCACTTGCCACCATCTTCGGTGCCTTCTTTCTTCTCAGAACTTTGGAAGCTCAGTCGTAAGAAATCGATTGGCAACAACACTTGATGGATGTCAGCGAGTGTTACCCATCTTCTCTCACATCCCTACTTCCGAATGTTACTGGTGCCTTGCCCTATCCTTGCAGTCCAGGAGTAAATGCAGGTCCCATAAATCAAGATTTCAGATTGACGCGCAGCGTATCTGGTTCCCTAATTCCCAGTTCACAACAACGTCTGGGAATGGAGAAATCCATGCCTCTCGGCAGTGGTTGGAATTCCGTGGACCATGGGAATCTCGGTCTTACCGTCGATCCTGCCAAAGGTGGTTTTGCACTCCAAGGAGTCGGTCTTCCATCATCTCCCATTGCACGATTCTCGTCTAACCCTGGGTTTGCAGAACGTGCAGCGAGGTTTTCTGCTTTTGGAAATGGTCATTTTTCCCAATCTTACTCTCACAGCGATAACGGTAGTGTGAGGTCTGGTTCTTATGAAAACGAGAACAAAGCGACCAAACTCTCCGCAAGGGGCGAGATCTCTACGGGAGGCATCGGCTCACCTGAAGTTTCTGGCAGAAGTCAAGCTAATGCCTTGGATGTTGGCAACGATGGAGAGGATACAAAAAGTAGACTCTATCGCAGCACTTCTGCTGCTTGCTCACCAGCTCAAACTGATGAAGGATGTAATGCCCATGACAACGAGAGACCTGTAGTCGGCAGCCCTTCCGAGTCTGGTGCTACCAATGGCAGCGGAGGTCAAGAAACATCCAAAACCGACGCGGATCAAGGTCGATCAACCGCCGCTCAGTTGAGTGGGAAGAAGAGAAAAGCTTCCGGTGATGAGGCCGTCAAAGAAACAGCTTCACCTGTTACCAAGGAGCAAAAGGTGAGCGGAGTAGTTTCAACTTCAAAGAGTGTAAGATGATGATTATGATTTGCATAAGTAGTGATAGTGTTTTCGCCCTTCTCCTATATTGTAGTTCTGCATGTGCTTCGAACACGTTTTAGATCAGAGGTTGATTCCCACTGCGGAAACTCACCCATTTGCTTCTCTATGTATGTTCCAGAATTCCGGTGCTCAGTCAAAGCGCTCAAAAGGTGCCGAAGATAAAGAAGATCAAAAGTCGAAAGCTGAACGTAGCGACAACTCGAGCTCCAGCTCTCTAGCAGCCAAGGATTCCAAACATGTTGATCATCCCAAAACTGACTACATCCACGTTAGAGCGAGGAGGGGTCAAGCCACAGATAGTCACAGTTTGGCTGAACGAGTTCGGAGGGAAAAGATAAGTGAACGCATGAAGTTTCTACAAGATCTTGTACCTGGCTGCAGCAAGGTCACTGGAAAGGCAGTGATGTTGGATGAAATCATCAACTATGTACAATCGATTCAACGGCAAGTCGAGGTGAGATTTCTACTTCAGTGTAGACTTGTCAGGCTTTTGTGCACCTTACAATCCCAACTTTGGAGATGTGAGACGTTGATGTACATGAATGGGACCTGACCTTTAACTTGTTTTGTCATGCAGTTGCTTTCCATGAAACTGGCAGCTGTGACTCCTCGACCCGATTTCAACATTGACAACTTTTTGACCAAACAAGTAGGTACCATCGCCGTCATCGATCTTCTTTATACCTTCACTAGGAATGTATTCGAGATTATATCGCAGTCAATCTACTTAACTGTATATCCACAACCTTGTCTAATTATTTCTTTCTTGTGCTTGCAGCTCCAGATAGGACAAAATTGTGGTCTCCCAAACATGGTCGAGCACACAGAATCTACCATCCAATATCCCCAGCTCCCCTCACTTCACTCCCAACAATCACTGCACATGCAGCAGGTCCTCAGCAATGTTTTGGACAACTCACAGTCTGTGGAATCAAAGCTGATGAGAATGAACAGCGCTCCTCCAATGTCTCTACCTAGGGCTCACATGGACATATTCGGAGATGGATTGTCTCAGGTTAGTTGACAATATCCTTCTTTGTGATGGTAATGTTATGATCTCTTCAAACATTTGTCGCTATCATGTACAGGCAACAGGAGGAGGATGTCAGAGCATGCCTTTCTTTGGGATACATGTCTTGTCCTCAACTCTAACTTCCATTTTGATGTGGTGGCTGCAGCTTACAGAGCTTTGGGAAGGTGACCTCCAGAGCGTTGTTCAAATGGGTTTCACCCAAGGGAGGCCAATGACGGGTCTTGGGGGATTTCAATGTAAGACTCAAGCCTTGAAACCTCGTTGTATTCCACTTCATCTCCGCTTAATGCATTATTTCAAGTTCAATACACACACTGGGAAAGATATAATTTGAAGCACATGATGCACGTGGTGATTGAATTAAATCTCTGAAAGTTACTCATAAAATTCTTGGTATCTCCTGAACAGGTGACTTGCCACCAGGCCACATGAAGATAGAGATCTGACAACTTCTGCGGCTTGAAAACCACTATTCGCACACTGGCTCAACGGTGTTGGTGCTTGAGAATATCTCTTGGCGGTGTTCACAAGGACCAGAAGTTCTGTTCGCACTTTACCATATCTGTTTCTTCCATCAGTCATATAAATGCGTGAGTCCTTCTTTGAAGCTCAATTCAGAAGAGAGCTGGGTATCACAAGAATATGAGCTGTTGATCAAAAGTACTGTGGAGGAATCGATGTCGAGCAAGGGATGCTACCATTGAAATAAAATGAAGGGCAACCTTGATCTGAGGCTAAGTCGCCATTCCAAGGTGCTGTCGGAATGTGAATACTATCAGGGGTCCCATAAATTAGTTATGGAGTTTCATCTCAAAAACTACAGTAGACAATTCGACAAATTGAGTTACAAGAGGCATGTTTAGTGAGAAAATTTAGTTCCTATCGTGTACAGAGATCTGAGTAAGGCCAGTGAGCCCAGTATTTGGCTCCTTGTGGAATCATATGATCTACATTAATTGAAACTGGTCACTGAGCTGATCTTCACTGAGCCGAGCCTTCAGTTGTTAACTGAGAGGATGTTTGTTGTTTCTTTGTGATGTTCATCTTATGGCTTGTTGAATCGCAATGACCACGTCTTCAAACCTGAGTTGAATTTTTATGTTGGGGGTCATTTTTGTAGGGAGTTATTTGAATATTCCCGGGTTTATGTTGATGAGAAAATTCTACATATATTACAGTCATATAATGTTTCACGCCTGAGCTACTCTTGAAAATCGAGTGGACCTTGTTGTTTTGGCGGGAGAATTACTTGATGGGACCCAATACCTTTTACCCTAAGGACCCTTGAGTCCCCCTATGTTCTACTACTAATTCTTGTAATTGCTTTGAGTCCGGGTTAGGAAAAAGCACTTGGGCTCTTTGTTGAAAAGTGACTTATCCCCGCAGGCACTTAAAGGATCAAAATAAAGCCAAGAGTTTTAGAACAAAAAGTAAGGAGTAAATATATCACGCCCATACATTATAACTGGAAATTCATTATGGGACGTGAAAAATTGGGCTCTTGCACGATGAAGATTGGGAGACGTGGGAAATCTGACTAACTTAATTTCGGGAAAAATTTCTCTTTTTCATTGAAATGGAAACAAATCAATTACACGAACATAACTGAGGGTGACCCGTGGGAAATCTGACTAACTTAACTTCGGGAAAAATTTCTTTTTTTCATTGAAGTGGAAACAAAGCAATTACAAGAACACAATTGAGGGTGACCCTTGGGAGTGTTCCCATGGGGTAAAATGTAATGTATTGGGTCCCACAACCATTACTTGATGGTACCATCAAGTAAATTTCTCTGTTTTGACTAGTCCTTGAGTCACATTGTGTATAGTAGTAGTTAACGTCCACCTGGACGGCACGTTATCACTTCACTCGCAGCTTAGTATTAGGCGGTTTGGAAGCTCTTTTTCTTTCATATTCTGAACCATTTTTTCATATAATTTCTATATCATCTTTTGAACTGTGTAAAGAAGTATACAATTATTTGCCTACTCGTCTAGCCTAAAAGTAAAAGCCTCCATCATAAAATATATTGCAATACATGATCCGAATACATACCGTTGTACAAATGATCAATGCCATTTGATGGTTTAATAGACAAAACAATATAATCTACACAAACTTGATGATTTTTGGAAATGTTTAACGTGTATAGTCTTGTACATATTACTAAAGTTTACATTTATGAGTCCACCTTAGTGAATACTGAAGATGTATGAGAATCACACTTCTATGTATGTGGTTCAACACATGAAGCTATTTTCCGGGGCGAGAATGTTATATCAGATCTCTATAGCTTATCCCTCCCCATATGAGACTAAATTCAACGTTCTCATACTAGATTTACGTATCTCAAACCCTAACTAGCGTCCAAGTTTAACTACGGTTAATAGGACGAGGGTTAACTTTACAACTCTTCCTTGACCCAAATCTTGGAAGAAGACTTTTCTATAAACCATATATAGTTTGAGCAAGAAGTTCTAGATAATAAATACAAACCATAGTATTTTTCCCTAAGAACAAATGTAAACTAGAACTACCAACATGTGAGAGAGAAATTACATAGACATATATCTCTCCAGGAAATAGATGTCTCACGACAATACTCTCTTGCAGTAACTCATCAGATCTTTCAATGCCTCTTCGTTGTGGTTGTACGCCGGTAACTTTAGATCTATAAAGTCCAGGATGGAGGAGGGAAGCTCCAACTCCTCGTCTGTAGAGTTCATTCCCTATGTCGCGACTTCAGTAGCGTCACTAACTATGGACGCACCTGCAACTTCCATTCTCTCCTCCACTATGGTAGAGAAAGAAACGTTTGCAGAGAGAAATTACATACATATAAACTATCATGTAATCTAATTCACTATTGCAAAATCTTCAAAGTTGTACAGTGTTTTGAAAACTTAAAAAAGGGAATAACTTTGATAAAGCCATTAGCTGGGTTAACCTCTCCATAAATTTTGATGAGTTTAAGCAAGTTTTCAAACATTGACTTCCTAATAAAATGATACATGATGTCAATATACTTCAACCTTCTAATCATCATCTGTTTCATAGCAAAGTGAAACTCACTCTAACTATTGCAATGAAGATTGACATCTTGCTGTGGCAATCCCATCTCAGTGATAAGCTTGTTTAACCAGATTGTTTACTTCATTGCCTCTACAACTACAACATATTCAGCTTCTATAGATCACAAAGAGATGCACTTTTGAAGAATTGATCTCCAACTATTGTAGCCACATGTAAGAGTGAAAACATACCCAGTCCTTGATTCTCTTTTGTTCAAGTCTGCTCCATAATCAACATCCACATGTAACACTCGTGTTTAGAAAGAAGTTCACTTGAAGATAGAAATGTAAACTCTGAAGAAGAGAGATACCAACAATGGTTCTACTCTCCCTTATAAAGCTCTTATCAACAAGTACAAGGAGATAAGATCTTATCTCCACCATCCATCCCACTTCTCGTGGATGGATGACGTGGCGGATAACCCTAACAAGCACACAGATCCCTGACGTGGCGTTCACAATTAACACACTCAATCCTTACCTACAAGCTCAAGGATTGCTGACGTGACACTGTCAACTAGCACATCCACTATCTACCTACCAAGCGCGTGGAGTGCTGACGTGGTAGCTATGACTAGTGCACGCTTAAGTATCTATATCAAAATTTAGAGTAACCTCTAGTTTAGTTCTCACTAACTAAAGATGGTTACAAACCTCACTGCTTTTAAGATGTAACATCCTTGTTGAACATACGTTCAAACTCCTTAACTATCAAAGGTGCATTTGTTAAATTTTTAGTTAGTTCCCAAGTTGATTCCTACAATGGATAGCCTTTCCATTGAATCAAATACTCTACTTTGGGATACTTATGACCTTGAATAAGTTTCTTGAGTATCTTTTCTACCTCAAACTCCTCGTAATCTGTTATCAAGATTTGAAGAGTAGGTGGTGCTGGTTGGTTGGTGAATTGTTTGGGTTGTGGTACATGTTTTCGCAATCGTGACACATGAAATACTTGATGTATTTTCATATGTGACGAAAGTTCCAACTTTTCAATTGAGTTTGATACTCAAGTGCTATTCATTTCTGAATGGCATCTATCTTCTCACTCATCACTTGGATTCTTGTAGCTGTAACTCTATGACCCAAATAATCTACTTTGGATTTGCCAAATTCACATTTTGAAGCTTTGGCATACAATTGATTGTCTCTTACAACTTAAAGTAACTCTCGTAAATGACTTCTATGATCACTCAAAGTTTTGCTATACACCAATATATCATCTAGAAAATAATGACAGATTTATCTAGATAATTCTGTCATTGTCATTCCCTAATTCACCGATGACTACATCAAGCCAAGGAGAAGTTGGTGATAGCTCAAAATCGGCAAAAGCGGCATGCTGATGCTCATCGTAGAGAAGTGGTTTTTGAGGTTGGAGATTATGTTTGGATATTTATAACGAATTTGTTTTTTGTAAGAACATCAAAGTTAAACCCTAGGTTCATTGGTCCATTTTTTGTTTTGAAGCGTGCTGTGAAGTGTCATACAAGTTGGAACTTTTGTCACATATGAAAATACACCCAATATTTCATGTGTCATGATTGTGAAAACATCTACCACAACCAAAACAATTCACCAACCAACCAACACCACCTTCTCTTCCAACCTTGATAGTAGATCATGAGGAGTTTGAGGTAGAAAATATACTCAAAAAACGTATTCAAGGTCGTAAATATCCCAAAGTAGAGTATTTGATTCAATGGAAAGGCTATTCATCGTATGAATCAACTTGGGAACCAGCTAAAAATTTAGCAAATGCACCTTTGATAATTTAGGAGTTTGAACATATGTGCAATGAGGACGTTGCATCTTAAAAGTAGAGAGGTTTGTAACGATCTTTAGTTAGTTAGAACTAAAGAACTAAAGTAAAGGTTACTCTAAATATTGATATAGATACTTTAGTGTGCACTAGTCATAAATGCCACGTCAGCGATCCGCACAATTGGTAGGTATAGAGTGGATGTGTTAGTTGACAATGCCACGTCAGTCATTCGTGTGCTTGTAGGTAAGGATTGAGTGTGTTAGTTGGGAACGCCACGTCAACGATCCGTGTGCTTGTTAGGGTTATCCGCCACATAATTCATCCACTAAGAGTGGGATGGATGATGGGGATAAGATCTTATTCACTTGTACTTCTTGGTGTGAGCTATATAAAGGACGGTAGAATCATTGTTGGTATCTCTCATTTTCAAAATTTACGTTTCTATATTCGAGTGAATTTCTCTCTAAACCCTAGTGTTACATATAGACAAAGTTTGTTTTCTTAAATAGATTCAATCCTAAAATTTCAATCAAGAAAATTTGTGTTAATGAAGTATCCAAGTTCCAAGTTTCAAAACAAGAGTTAAAAATAATCTTGTGATCATACATCTAAATTTTTGTTTTTAATCAAACAATAAAAAATATTCAATTAATCTATAAATGCATATGATCAATTGAAAATGCATATTATTTGACAAAGAATATATATATATATATAGTTATTATAAAGATTAGAAAAAAAACTATCAACATCATAATTAAAATAAGTATATCATGATGTGCTCATCAACATCAATCATAAAGAAGATTTTTTAATTATAATTTATGCAGTATTTGTAATAATATAATATTTATTTATTTATTTTATATCAAAATTTATATTATTCAAAGAAAAATAGACTTTTTTTCTATGAATGATATTACTTTCTCATTTTCTGAATAATGATTAATAAAAAAACTTGAACAACAAATGAATGAATCTTTTAACATTTTTATTATATTTTATTATGAAATCAAAGAAAACGTATTCTTAATAATGTATCAAAATAAAACATAGACTGAATAGATATCTCTTAAATATATAACGAATTGCTATATCAATTCTCTACATATATTCTTATATTCAAGAATTTACAAAATATCATATATCAAAAGTATATGATTTATGCATATGAATTTATCACAATATAATTTGGTAAAAAAAATTATTATGACTATTGATAGCATAACTTAATTTTTGATCATAACTGATATTGAATAAATTATATAGAAAATTGAATTGAGCTATTATGGTAATTGAAAGTGATTCTCTGTAATTCTAACTTCACAGACGATGAGAGATGAAATGTTTAGAAAAATTGAATGTAATGCTTATCTTCTTGGCACTCCAAAACATCAACTGAAACAAAATCTTCAGCAGGAAAAAAGGTATTTCAAACTGTCAATATTTAAATTTGAACCATAGAATAAACTATTGAATTCATAAGTCCATTTTCAAATGTTTGATCTTAACACTTGGGCTACAATTTTACAATCTGTATGAGAAAAAGGCGTATTGATGTGGAAAGATAGATTATCACAAACTTGTAAACTATTTTTTACATTGTTTGACTCAGAATAATAAGAAGTTGAACAAAAAGCGTTGTTAACTCGATAATTCAAACTCAAGATAAATTAATTTTTTAATTAACTACTACCGATCTGTATATATAGGCGTCCACCCATTACATGGGAAAGGAAAAATAAATTTTCGTCCTTATCAAGCAAAATAATAATGTACTTGTACAAGACAGTAATAACCAAGGGACAAACATTTCTGCTTTGATCATTCAAATCAATCTCAATTTAAACAACGGTTGATAAAGAAAATTAGATAGTTCATGACTAGTAATAATACATACGAAGTTGAACCTTATCAATTGAACAGTAAATTATGACATGAATCCTACTGGAAGGATCAGACCGTGTACAGTATAGGTACGTACGTAGATTCTTTCTTGAAGATTGTTGTGTTGATTTTTCCTACGATGGGAGAACGGATTGTTCAAAGCATGTACCTTCTTTGGAGTTCATATATATGCGGCGTGAGACCGGGCGTAATTTGGGCGAATGCGAAGAAGCTCAGACCTCATCGACGACGAGAGACTTCGTTCTCGACCCGCGGCGGGTCGAGAGAGATGCAACGCATACGCTGCACGGACGTCCTACGACGCTGGCAGACTCATGAGGTCCCCGAAATCATCATCGTCGCTCGCTGCTAGCAACAATTGCATGAGGTCACCTGCTTTCACCACTATCGCGCGATGCAATATGACGGGGAAACGCAGTAACATTGCTTAAAAGGATGTGAAGGACGTAAGCGAAGGAGTCAGGTGGGCCTAGCTTCGTCCTGATCATTGTCGCTCATGCGCACTCTTTTAGCGTCACTTTTTCTTTCTGGAGTCTGGGTCCAGTCCGGTCTTCATCAGAGTCAAGATTGTTTTAATGTGACGTGCGCCAACAATTTGGCCCGGCCGGAGCTCCGCCTTTTGACACAAGCGTGCGTTTGCGTTGGGTGGGTGGGACGTCGCAGTTTGTCCATGCTCGTCGACATTGCTGCTTCGTCCACTCGACGCAAGATTGAAATCATGAAAATCCCCTGTTTCCCAACCGTTCTCAGTGGAAGGCAACGAGCGTCGACTTGACCCTGCGTTTTGAGTTGTCTCACGCTCATGTTCTTCGTTTCCTTGTTCGATCTTTCCATTTACGATGTGAGCAAACTCATTTGTATGGGCAGCGACAGAGACTGAAGTGCGAGTGGAAGACTCTTGAAAGATCACGCAGAGCGGAAGGAGGCTTTGAGTAGAGCCTGACATCCGTAGATAGCACGGAAGCACCTCTGAGAAGGAAAATACATTCGCATTATGTTCGTAAATTGATACCCGGGATATGATACGAACGGGAAGAGCAAAGTATGTGCTTCGCAGGAGCTGGTCAAATAATCCGCTCCAAAATTTGGTGGCCCGTTATCTTGTGACGAACTTATTTCTTCGCGGACAAGCGAGAGATTTTGTTCGACTTTTTCTCAACAGATAATGAAATCCGGGCTCACAACACGGGACTGTTGATCTCCTGATTACGAGGATGCGCCGGTGAGATCAACAGACTAGCTTGACCATTTTTTATCAGAGGAAAGCTCATATAATAGCAGATTGTGGCTCTATTCCAAATACATGGCTTGCCTGCAGCACCTTTGCTTTGGAGCTATTCCTATTAAGCGTGGATGTTTCTGGGTATTGCTCCTTGGTTCTCCATGAGCAAGAACATATGTATACTCAAATTCTGACCTTCAAGCTTTGCAAAGTCTTCCTTCTCTGAATTGCATGGTGCACGATGTTGCTCTTTTCCAAGATTGCTGCTTACTAGCAAGCAATTTTAGTGGGACGTTAAAAACTACAAGTTCAGCAGCTCAGAAACGCAGTTGATAGTCCTTTTTACTGATCAAGTCCAGTATAAACTCGTTCTTGAATTTTACATACAGATCAGGCACTTCTGGGCTTCACGACAAGTCCCCTGGGGAATGGAGAGGGCACCCAGGTCCTCGAGAGTGGAAGCACATGACCGCAGGTTTCAAGTCGATGACGGGAAGGCGAATACTACCTGCATTGATTTTGTTGATTTGTATGATCTCACTCCTCCACCGGATGAGAGATCAAGCCCGCAACTCGGCGTCCCAGGTTCGTCCTACATTATCCTTCCGGAGTACAAGGCATATCGTCTTCTTTCACAAGTGGAATTATATTATCTGATATTCAGGCAATTTAGGTCTAGTCGAGTTCTTTGTCCTCGTAAGTTCGACTACCAGTCATGCTCTGTGTCCATAACAGGCGAATGTGCAAGGTTTCTTGATGTCTCTCGTTTTGTCATCTGATCAGACATAAGTGTCAGTTTGGAATCTAGACTCCTATCTGTATGAACGGGCATCCCAAAAGTTTAATCGCAACATTGCGTTTGTTCCTCGTTCTTGTTTGGCGCAATGCCACTGAAAGTCCTGATTAGAGATGAAGTGATACGTCAAACGTTTTCACATTGTAGAAAAGTATCCAATTTAGATGTTCTAATTTCTTCGACCCGCTGTGCTTGGTCAAATCAATCCTATGTACCCTAGTTTGTACCACCTTCTGCACTAACTACGAAGATAGTTCACACCGCCTGCAAGATGATTTTAATTGTATTCTCTCGATATTCCTGACGGTGAAGCCAAGTGAAGCTTACAGCATTCAAAGTGAGTTAATGAAGTGAGTTTATTCGGGTGATAGACGTCCTTTATCCTATGATGCGACCCATGCAGCGATATTTAGGATGTTGAAGTCCTGGCCTTTGAAGCAGATGTAACTTAATTGTGAAGCAACAATGGGACTGTCGTCAGGTCGCACCTTTTATCTTTCACGTTGATCTTGTCTATATCATGCTGTTTGAGTGTTTATTCTACTGGTTCTTCTTGCTGCTATAAATTCTGGCAAATATATTACGGAAAATAATGGAAGGAAATTTAAAACTATGGTTTGACAAGGTAATCAAAACGTTCAAACTCTTCACCTGTGGCTTCTGACTGCAGAAATCTACTCCCGATCTCCACGCTGAAAGGGAACTAATTTCATCTCGTGTTTTATATAAAGCAACGGATTATCATCATGCATCGACCGTAGATTTGGAGGTATATGCTATCCAGAAATTATCAACTAAGTGGATGATCATGAAAGAACCATTTAAGCTATGTAAAGCATTTTAACCATCAATACCTGCTCTTGCGAATTCCCGCACCGAATACATATTTTAAATCTGTTCACTCTTGGTTCCAAGAAATTGTCAACATAAATCAGTTTGTTGGAGTGGATGTTGATGGGTTTAAAGAACACATTTCGAATGCACAATCGAATTATGGAACTGAGTAATTACAACTCAAACCCCGAGTATCCCGGGATAGTCGCGATCCAACCATGAATGAGCTGTTCTTTTGCTGCAGGAGAAACGTGTCCCGGATACCCGGAAAATTGCAAATTGTAGTTACTTTACTCTCGTGTCGGTTTTTCTTCTCTTTACCCGACCGCTCTAGAGCAAATAGCTCATCTCTCTTGTTCGTGAACAGGTTCCAGCAACTCAGATTTTGACGAACTCTGTCGGCTTTATATTATAAAGCACTTTATTCAGTGAAGTAACCTCTCTTGATTTTAATCTGGTGTTTTTTATTCCATGCAGATATCTGTGCCCACACTATGGTTTAATGGCCATTCTACAGGCTGGCGGAGTTCATGTGCCACAAGATCTCCAAACTGGTGTACGGATGGAATTTATATGCATTAATGTGCAGACTTTTCTTATTCTTTTATATCTGGTTAATTTACAGGTCACTCAGTATCAGTGAAGAGCATTCAACTTCTCACAGAATTTTTATTTCATTTAGGACTAAAGCTTCTTAGAGTGGCACACTAACTGCCTACTGTTACTACCGTGAGAATTGCATCTTGTAGACAACAAATTTCTGCATTGACTGTGTATAAAAGGCCTGCAACTAATATCATGTTATATACATGCAGTAGCACCGAGAGGAAGCAATGGGTATCTGGTGGTTCGATGCAATGGTGGACTGAATCAACAGCGCACTGCAGTGAGTTACCTTGCCTTTCACTATCCGTGTCCAGGGTGAAACGACATGACGATGAAAGACTACTTCATTGGCCGACCGTATGGTTGAGCAGTTTGATGGTCAGGAGGACATCTGATTTCATAGAATGTTAAGTAGTAGGTTTGCCTTGCAACGGTCTAGGACCCCGCTGATACACTCCATGGTTGTAACAGATTTGCAATGCAGTTTTGGCTGCTCGAATCATGAACGCTACTCTGGTGTTGCCTCACCTTGATACCAACTCTTTCTGGCATGATGAGAGGTGCGGTGCGCTTTCTTTTTAACTCTACTCAGTTTTATGGATGTGGATATGGAGGTTTCATAGTTCACAGATAAATATCTCGTTTATCGTATTGTATATTATCTCTTGATCAGTTTATGCTGATCAAGTGTCAATATGATTGCTGAATTCTTCCGTCGAAGCGGAAGTATGTTTGTATGTATTAATTACCTCAGCACATGAAAGAGAAGTTAGTCTCTTTAATAAGGAATTAAATTTCTTATACCCCTACGTTATCATTTGTAGGATCGTCCGTAGATGGCGCGGAGTCTCCGGAAAATCTCTTAGGTGGCTGAGGTGAATACTAGCCGTAGCCTCATACAGTAACGAAACTATCTTTCTCCAGTGGCTTTCCAGGTATTTATGATGTTGAGCACTTCATTGATTCTCTGAAGAGTGACGTGAGAGTCATCCACACTTTACCAGCAACGTGGGCAATTGGTACGAAAAGAATGAAACTGAAACCGTATCAGGTAAGTTATCTGCAGCGACGGGGACTAGTTAGATCGTTGTCATTTCTAGCATGCTTGTGTATATGCCTCACTTATAGTATATAGTTGTAGTCACCTCGTCAAGGCATTGTGATCCTATGAAGCACTAGAGCGGCAATACTCATATACCGCATCGTCATATGATTGTGGAATTCTTGAGTATGATGCGCGTGGAAGCTCCTGGCAATAATAACGGAGTAATTTAGCGACTTAGACAAAACCCGTAACTGTTCTCTGATCATTTGCAGCTGCAGCCTCCTCGTGACGCCCCTGTCAGATGGTATGAGACTACAGCATTGGAGACCATGAAAAAGCATGGCGCTGTCTATCTCACTCCATTTTCACACCGTCTCGATGAGAAACTTGACAATCATGAGTACCAACGCCTACGTTGTCGTGTGAACTACCATGCATTGAGATTCAACAATGATATTAGGAACCTGAGCAGTATCATCGTGCAACGGCTCCGTTCAGTTGGACCATACATGGCAATCCACCTTCGATTTGAATTGGACATGTTGGCCTTTGCGGGGTGAGTTATTCGCCGAGCCCTTAATGGTTTATGCTCTAATGTAATTTTGACCTGCTAGTAGGCTGTAGACCAACCTCTGATTCTTTTTTCGAGAGCCCATGAGTACAAAAAGTGACACTCACAAGTTAAGTGATGCATAGGTGTCTGGACATCTTCACTCCGGAGGAGCAGGAAATTCTCAAAAAGTACCGCAAGGAGAATTTTGCTGAGAAAAAACTAGAGTACAACCATAGGCGCCTAATTGGCAAATGCCCTTTGACCCCACATGAGGTATTCCTTTTTCCTATCTCATCATCGAAGCATATTTTGAAGTCTTTCTTCTTGTCATTGCTTCTTAGGAGGTGATTTCCACCCTTGGATTTCTCTCTGCTCTCCACTATAATTGAAATTTGAGCTGATTTTACGCAATCCAGCCAGAAAATTTTTAACTCCAAAAACCTTCCAAGTATTGTACAAGGCAAGCTGGTCCTTGCCGTATGACCTAGTTTGTCGCGAATTGCATTTAGAGGTCCATGAGAAAGTATTTGAGTGAGACCCAGGAAGAGATGCTAGAATATACGATATCCCTCCTAGTTGACCAATTTTGGGAAACTATATCGATAGCAATTACTTCGTCTGTGTTGAGTTTCATTCTAGAGGCGTAGTGTATCTCCGTCCATTGGTGTCAGAACACTCTCTTCATCTTCTCATACCAATGAAAACCAAATCCTGCTGTCTCAAATAGTCAATTCTTCGTCCATACTTCTCACTTACACGTAGTCATGCGGGACATTTCACTTCTTATTTATAGATTGGTACATATTAAGGGTCAAAATGAACAACGTGGTTGTTCATTTAGACTCTATTGCGGATAGTGACATCATCTATCTCTTGTTTTGTTCAGGTTGGCTTATTTCTTCGAGCAATGGGATTTAACAATGCCACCCGTATCTACTTAGCTGTAGGAGAGGTTTTTGGTGGTGAAAGGTTTTTAAAGCCTTTGCGTGATCTTTTTCCGCAACTTGAGACACGTTCCACGGTGGCGTTGCCAGAGGAACTGGGTTTGGTTAGGGCAGATGGACACGGGCTACTCGGACCAGCAGTGGATTACATGGTATGCCTCCTCTCAGATATATTTGTGCCAACATATGACGGTCCAAGTAACTTCGCGAACAACCTTATTGGGCAGAGACTATACTACGGATTTCGCACTACTTTGCAGCCCGATAGGAAGGCACTTGCCCCTCATTATATCAAATTGGAGAAAGGATTAGTTTCACGATCTGACTTCGAAACCTCAGTCAGGCAGATCATGAGCCCAAAGTCGTTTGGCAGGCCACGCACTCGACTTCCATCGGAGTCTTTCTACACCAATCCATGGCCGGAATGCTTTTGCATGATTTCTTCAAAAGACAGTGCTAATCAATGTCCTTTAGATATAGTAGAAACCACTAGTGTAGATATAGATGAAGATGAGAATTTTCTCGACGAATGGAATCAGCTCCAGCGTCTTTAGGGTCTGTCATGGGAGTATCTTCCTCCCACTTGTTAGAGGGGAAAAGACAAGTTACGAATGTAAAGTTAGAGCAAAGGCCATACCATGTGTGGATGGTCTATGTACATGTTGCGACGTTTTGTGGGATCGTTACTGCCAAAATGAAGAAATATAAGGAAGTCAAGGTTAAATTTATTAACATGTGGACAGAATCACGTATCTCTGACCCTTTACTTCCTATGCTTAATCCATAGGTGCTTCACGTGAGAAGGTAAAGGTAAAGTTCCATGTGCAAGCGGGATAAGGTTCTTCCTTACCAAAGTCATCTCCGATCTCTTATGCTCTGGGCCCCTTCGCGGTATTTCCGTTACTACGAGTTCCCCGTAACGGAAATAACGCGGGGCAAACGGTGTTCCTTCCCCGTTTTCCTGGTAAAGGTTGAAAAGCAAGGATCAGGTCTTCCGATCAAACTTCGTGTAACAGGTGATCTTACACATGAATGTGTTGTAGGTTGAACGATTCACAGAAAGGAAAAAGCTTGTACTTTATGCGAGGGTGAGATGTAGACACAATGAACTTATTTATGGGAATTGGATCTATGATTCATATTAAAGCCCGCGTAACCTGAAATTCGAGAAGGGTAGGGCAAAGGAGTTAAGGATGGCTATTACGCAACAATTTGGTGGCAAGATGAACCATAATTGAAATCAATGAAGCTGTTTGACGATTAGATACCAAATCAAGCTGAGTATCAAAAATGGATTTTGAATCTGCAGTGAATGGATTTATTTTACATTTTTGATACTCAAAAATGTAAAATAAATCCATTCACTGCAGATTCAAAATCCTCATGAGAAAAGTTTCACTAAGTTTACATGATGCAATGAGTATGTAAATGGTAAATAGATCAAGCCCGTGGGACCCAAAGGGCCAAAAGATTGAAAAACACAATACAAACAATCCAACTCCAACCTAGGAGAGAACCAAAAGAACCCCCTAGCTAGTGCCAAGAGCACTAGAACGGTAACTAATAACATCTCTGATGTAACAACCTAAATCATAAAGCTCAAGCTGAAGCAAAGAATAAAAATTCTCAACAACTTTATGAACCACTCTAATCTCTACATATCTAGAACAAGTAAGAAATACATGCTCTTCATCCTCGACTTTTCTTCCATCACATAGCCTACAAATCCGTTCACTCCTTTGAATGTTCAACCAACGCCCTTCTTCAATCCCAAGACTATGAGATCCAGTTCTATGCCTAGTAATAATATGACGTAAAGAAGTAGAGATCTCCGCAAGTAAGTATCCTTGCTCGCAATAAACAAGCATATGATTCACATGAAGTTGATAAAACTCCATTTTAATGCCTCGTCTGTTCCAAATAATGCCGAAAAATTACTCCTTGATACGCTCGCGTAGGGCAATAGGTTGCAAATCCCAATCAAGTTCAGTCACATTCCACCTCAAAGACCAAGTCACCACATCTGCAAACTACCCCTTGGGACGTTTGGCACGCAAAGCTTGAAGAGGAAGTCGAGAAGCATCAAAAGATCTCACTCATTTTGACATAAGTGATAGTCAAAAAGAAGTCTTCAGCCTCAAGAGGTAGACAACATGTTTCCGCAAGAAGAATAGCATATGAAGTTTGGGTCCTCACACCCAATTCTTCTTGTAAGAATATCTTTTGCACCCTCTCCAAACGCTGCCAACCTGTCTTCTTACAACCAGGACCCCACACTTGTGTTCCATATAAGATATCGGGAAACACTAAGCTCTTGAATAAGAATTTCCTAAGACTCCAAGACAGTAGATGAGCTTTTCTACATTTATTTAGCAATGAATATAGAGCTTTGAAACCAGCTTCTACTCTCTTTTGCACACAAAGTGCCCAACTATAATCAGAGGAGAAATCAATGCCTAAATATTTGTAACTCTTCACTTGTTCCAACTCTAATATTTTGTAAAAGAAAAAGAGCTTGGATCTAGTGCCCACAAGAATGACTTTAGACTTCTTCAAATTGACCTCCATCTAATTTTGAGTACAAAAGCTAGCAAAGGTGTCAAGGTGTTTATGTGAACTAATGGCATCACGTGCTAGTAATATGACATCATCTGCATATAAAAGAGCTTTGATGACAAAGCCTTCAAATTTGACGCCTTCACTGTCATAATACTCTAACCACCTTTCTATATCATCTATGAAAACTCCAACGAGAGTAGGAGACAGAATACAACCTTGAATGACTCCAATGGTACTCAAAATCTCTTTGGTTTGAGAAGTATTGATCTTGGCCCGAACGGAGTGGTATAATGTGGCCACCGCCGCTAAAAGATCTGATGGTACTCCAATGATTTGCAATCTTTGCCATAAAAGCTCACGAGGTAGTGTGTCAAAAGCTTTCTTGAAATCAATGAAGGCACAAAACAAGATTTTTCTATTACCCTTGGATTTCTTCCATAAAACACGCAAAACAAAGATATGATCTATAGTGTTGAATGTAGTACGAAAACCAGCTTGGAACCGCTCTCTCTTCTGACAAGATTCAACCCATGTGCTCAACTTTGACTTCACCAATTTGGCAAAAATACTACGCACCATGATGATTTATGTGGTGCCTAGTTTTTTTGTTTTTCTTTAAAAATCAACAAAACTAAAAGATATTTGTCTAGAAAGTAGTTGTACGAGTTAGAATAACCAGCTTATGAGGAGATATGACATGATTAGTTAGAATTCGTCTACGTCCTAAGATCTTCGGATCTTCAGCGCCGCCTTTTTGGACATTGCAAGAACTGCGTCTTCGGCGAAGACATAGGATTCAATTTCGGATCGTGCAAAGGGCCGGGAGACGTTCGCACGCATCGGAAATTCTAGTGGGTGCATGAGGAGGCAATGTTATGGCTTCAAAGGTAAGGGCAGTACGAGGAGTCTTTGCGCCGACATTGCAATATCGAGCAGAAACGAGCGAGCGAGAGAAAGAGCGAAATCGACCGACCTTGCTAGTAGCGAAGACGCGAATCGAAGTCATGGGGCCAAAGAAGAGTGACAAGGTGCGGAAATTGGTTTCCATCAAGGTGCCCTACGAAGAATTGCGACCCTTCAGACGCGAGCTGAGCGAGTTGTGACTTGAATTCCTCTTTTGGAATTAGAATTGCGTCTCGGCGAGTATCTATAAGGAGATAGTGGATAAGAACCAGACCGAGGACGTGGAGCTTCGAGGTAATCCCATGCTCTGGAGAATTGAGCATTGGACAAAGGTGATGGGACCGTGCTCAGGTAGCGACGAAGACCTTTTGTTTGAGAAGAGTAGCGTGGGACTTACGCGCACCGAAGAATTCTCTTACGGACCACTCTTTAGTTCCGGGAGACAGGGAACGAACGGGTGGAAGACAGCGGATTACATAGATCCAAAGAAAAGGACGATAGCGTTGGAAATTATGCACATCTTGCGACCAGCACATACGACGTATGTGACGGCCTGGCAGGTAGGGTTCTTTGAACGAATCTTGAAGGGACAAGGAGTACATTGGGTGAGGTTCTTTCACAATCTAGTCTAGGTGAATGCGTCCAATCGGTGAACAGGACCATTGGTCAATCATCTCACTCCCTTCTTGGTGGTTTTCTACCGAGGCATGGGGTTGCTTACGAGAGAGGAGTAGAAGCAATTTCCAAGGAAGCGGGAAATCTTGACGGCCGAGTCTAGCCAAGGTACCGAGGACAATACCCGTCGTCCATTCCACCACAGACGACAGCCCGAGGACCAGTTCAGGTGGAGGTTGTGCGAAGACGGGAAAAGCCAGAGAGACGAGTGGCGAAGAGAAGGAAAGTAGTGAGCGATGACGAGGAAGATTTGGCACTTGAAGTAAGAAGAATGGAAACGGAAGTAGATGTGATCAGGCACTCGAGAACTCGCGCAAGACCAAAGAAGAGGGTGAATCGGGAGTTAGTGGCAGCAGAAGTATCGGATAGCAGCGTAGAAAAGAAAGTTGCCCCGATTGTGAGTACATCCGAAGTCGTAGTGGGCGAGTCAACACAGCCTATAGGGAGGGAAGGATCTTCGGGGGTATTGATCAAAGTTCCAGCAGAAGCACTGGCGTAACCTTTGAAGGAGGAAATGGAGATAGTTAGTCTGAATTCTCTGTCTTTGGAGTGAACACAGACTGCGGGAAGTGAAGAAATACCACATCCAAAGACGCGCGAGGAATTGATAAAGGAGCTAACATTAAGCGACGAAGTACTTTAACAGATTGTTGCACAGGTTGGAGAGACGGTGGTAAATGCCCCAGACAGCGCACTGCCGTCATCTCCTATAGAAGAAGTGAGGCGTGCAGAAGAGACGAAGACTTCGCAGGAGGAACCAAAAGAGTTAGTCGTTTCTTTCCCTGACTTCTTGCAGGATAGTGTGGTCCCATTATTGAAGTATCTAGATGGGAAGAGAGAGAATTATGATGTGTTCAAGGAGGTAGGATTTTATGTAAAGATGATAAGAAATAGAACGTAGCTCAAAAGAGCACTAGCAATAAAGAGGGAGTGGGATTCCGCGACTGAATTGGCACGGGAGCGAGCGGCAAACTTGGCAACCGAGTGCGCGGCAGTGAAGGTGACATTGCAGGAGCGAGAAGCCCAACTTCGAGAGAAGTAAATTGAGTGCGAAGTACTTCAATTGAATCTGGAGAAGTAATCCGGACGATGTGCAGAGTTGGAGTAGATCTTTGGTGGACTTCGCAAGTTTAACGAGAACGGGCAAAAGATGACAGTGGATTTGCTCACGAGGTTGGAGAAATCCATGGAAGCATATGATGAGCCAGTTAAGTGGTTGGAGCGACTGATCACCACTACGGAGAAGCGAGAGAAGAAACATATCAAGGAACTTGCTACATTGGAGGCCCAAAGAGCCGAAGAAGTTCGCATCGCCAAAGAACTTCGGGGCAAAATTGCAGAGGCAAAGACGGCGGAAGAAGATCTTTGTCGCAAGGTTTCAGAGATTGAGGGTAAGTGCTAGCGGAATTCCGACGTGCGGAGGAACTATCAGCAAGTCTGACGGAGGAGGTCCGGAAGCATGAGGAGGAATTGGCGAATTGGACCATGAAATTGACGGATTGTGAATCGGCCAGAACTTTAAAGGTCGAATGTAAATTGAAGGTTGAATCGGAATGTGAAGATTGCGGGAGCAGTTAGGTA